TCACCAGTACCGTGAAGTTGGCTACTTTGGAGGGCCATCTCATGCCGTGCGCACAGCGGAGCTTCCCCCAGCGCTACAAGGAGGCATACACTACGGAACTCACAGAGTTTATTACGATGGTGCGCGCTGGGCGCAGCAGCGACCAGTACCACCTCGAGCAGGAAGCGATTCTGCGCCACTCGAGCATCGCGCGCATTACGGTCGCCGCAGAGTTGTCGTGGAAGCTCGGCCGGTCGGTGGACTTAAGGGACTTGGAGGGCTTGCTCGCTGAAAAGGACGAGGGCGAACGGGGAGCTGACGCCGAGACTTGGAGAACTCGCGGCTCCGGGAGCGATTTAGGCGTTAAGTGTCGCAGCATGCAGTCCAGAGGGAAGTGGATCGCGTATCTTTGTTGATCTTTCGAAGGGTGTAGGATGCGGAGGAGGAGGAGGTGGAGGAGGAGGAGGGACGTGATGATTATCTTCTGGGAAACGGAGCAGGCGGCTCGGGGAGCTTGGCGTCGATCTGCGTCCGGTTGCCGCCGTTGTGCATTCAATGTTGCACCTGGAGGCGATCTGCGCTCGCCCACGAGTCTGCGTGCCAGGATCAGCCTGACCCCCACACCTCGTCGTGACGCACAGGGCGCACGGCGTATCCCAGCGGGCGATGGCACCAGCCCCGGAGCGAGCCAGTCGGTGTACATCGGGGGCGGAAAAGACGGGGGTGATCACGAGGGGGGGGGGGGATACCATGGCGCGGGCCATGATATTTCCCCAGAGTTCATGGCGCCTCTTCTTGTTTCATTACGTCCCTGGCCCCCCCCTTGGGCCGCGCACATGCCGCCGGCCATGATTTGCACCCCCCCATCTTGGACGCCCCCCTCTTGGCCGCCCCCGAGTAAAGAGGGCTCGCCCGCCGGGTGTTTGGCGCGGTGCTTCGGCGCGATGGCCGCTGCTCGTCGTGCCCGCGTGCCCACAGCCTCCGCGTCCAACCCGCACCCCAGTACTCCGGCGTTTTGAGAGTGGCAGGGCAACATAGCTCCAGAAAGCTCGAGCCTTTGCAGTGCCGTCCTCGCCTGCTCACCAGGAGATGCCTGCGTGCCAGGCCTTGGAGCACCTGCCTGTGCTGCCGGCGGCGGCCATGGTGCCGCCGATCGGGCCACCGAGGGCCGCCTCGGCGCTGCAGGGGCGGTGCCTCCCGCAGAGCGGCGCGTGCTTCGGCGGCGCGCGCTTGGGCGGCCGAGGCTGCAGCTCAGTTGCGGCCCTGGCGATCGCAGCATCTCACCGCCCACCAGTCAGCAGCTCCTCGTGTTCCAATGTTCTCGCACTCGCTTCTGATTGCTCTGATTCTTCAGCGGGCCACTGGGTCTGCCACTCGCGCCCGGGCGCCTCAGGTTGTTGGGCCGACTCTATCGGGTGAGCTCCGCTGGCGGGCGGCTGAGTCGGTTGTTGTTTAAATTCGGTAGTTCGTGGTGTTGTCTTGTCCCTCCTTATCCTCCCTTCTCCTCGTCAGATTTCATCATGCGCACCTCCACACTGTCAACTTGGCCATGCAGGAACCGTCAGTCTGTGGTGCTGCCTGCACGTCCACGTATGCTTAAATATTTTTGGCGATGCTGTCTCAATGCGACCCGTTGAGAGCAAAGTGTGCCGAGTACCAAGCGCCTCACCGCCTCACCGCGAGCAAAGTGTGCCAAGTGCTCGTGCAGGAACTTCGGAGAGACCTCCAGAGGCGCATCGGCACCCGCAAGCCGCATGAGCTTTTCTAGCAGAGGGTCGAGAAGGATTCGTTCACGACTCAATAGTCTGCGGTGCTGCCTGCACGTCCTAAAGATTTTTGGCTATGCTGTCTCAACGCGACCCATTGAGGGTAAAGTGTTCCGAGTACCAAGCGCCTCACCGTATCGCTTTCGAACGAACCCTTGAAGTGCTCGAACGACAAACGTTCGCACCACGACAAACACCAATCGATGGACAAAAAGGTCCCGACACCGCCACTCCCTGGACCTCCCCAGAAGTGCGTTCTGCCTAGAAATTTCGAGCGAAACCAGCCGTGACGACGTGGGAAAGGTAGCGGCATCGGTATCACCACGACGGCCGGCGAAGTCTCGCTTTTCGTCGGTTGGCCCAGCCACGACCATGACAACCACAACCATGACGACCACGACGAGGACCTCGACCACGGCGGCCACGACGGCGACGACAGACTTCCAGACAGCCCCGACGGGGCTGGAAGCGGCCGACCGCAGGCTGTCACGTCCGAGGAGCTGCTGTCCGCCGAAGAGCCGCTGGCGCACCATCTGCGCCGCTGGGTGGCGGCCGCGTGGCGCTACTGGGACGTGGGGGGAGGCGCCTTCCCCAGCGTCCGCGACATCCTTGTTTGTTCGAGGTGTTTGGATGCGCCTCGCCCTTCATTTGCCAGCGAAGAAAACATTCACAAACATACATGCTAGCCAGTGTGGGCCCAGTCGGTTGTTACACTGTGGATGTGCAAGCTATTGGATGTACGCTATGTGGCGCAAGCTATGTGGTGCAACCCACCCTGCCGAACTTGAAGTTGTCAAATCCACTGCTCGCGCAATCACCCGACCCACCCACCCGCAACTTGGTATGCAAAACCCACGTGGCGGCGATTGCAATGAGTGCTTGGCGTTGGCTAGTGCATCTTTGCGGCCGCGCTAGCCCGCGCGTGCTCGCGTGCGAAGCGGCCAGCTAGTTTGGCGCGACCGACGCGGCCGCGGTGGCGCTGACCGCTGGGATCTTCCCAGCGGGCATCTCAGTGTGAGTCGGCGACTTGGGCGGGCGCGGTATTATGGCAACGTCGACAAAAGGTAAACACGATGATGGTAGTAACGATGTTGGTATCGATGGCGACAGCGACCACGGCAATGCCAGTGACGGCGCCGATGCTGATCACGCCGGCGACGATGACGGCGGCTTCGCGTCGGTGGTGAAGGTTATGGAACGAGTTTGACATGTGCGCGCGGCCGACGCGCGAGGGTAGCGGGCATGGTGTTATTTCGCACGGATAGTGCCCCCGAGCACGCGCGCAAAGGCGTCCGAATGATTGCGACATGCGGCCCGTAGGTCCCGCCGGGCCAAATTGAGTGACATGTTGAAAAGACAGGTTTTAGAAGATCAAAATACATACATACAAATATGTGTATATCCACACATACACACGTAAATACATCAACGCAGGAGCGCGAGCGCAGGTCAAGTTGGAAAGTGTTGTTGCGCAACCTGGTGTTTTACATCAGTTGCGGGACTCGATTTTGACATCTCTATGATACCTACGGTCGTTGAAATATTTCCACACGCGCGCGACGATGCGCGCGTGTGCACCTCGCCCTTTTTATTGCACTAGGTTCTGGTGACAGCACGCGCGCAAGGACGTCGAATCGAATTCGACATGCGCGCGCGAAGGGCACGTTAGGTAGCATGTGATGACCATGTTGGAAAACATACGCTTCCCCCAGAACGGCAAGAACGCGAAACGCAGTCTGTCGATGAAGGCTTCTTGTTGCGAAACCATTTGATTATATGTTATCAGCACACTCGATTTCGAGATTCCTACGGCACCGAAGGTCATGGACGGATGCCGGCACGCGCGCGCTCAGCAACGCGCGCGGGGAAACGCCAGGCCCGCACACGGGCCCAACTCCTTAGAAGGAAAGCCAGGGCACCGAACTACAATCAAGCAGTGGCGAAGCGTCCATGCGCGCCTATAGGCCTACCAAACCATGTTATAAGAACCTTGTTGTGATTTGCGCGAATGTTCTTCGAACATTTCTGGGTGGGACTGTCTTGTTTTAACACATCGGGTTTCCGTTTTCAGAACATTGTTTTTTGTTTTGAGAACATTTCTCGGTTCTAAGAAAATTTCGTGGTAGGACTACGGGAATGCCGGGGACGGTCGGTCCCTGCTCAAACAAACACATGAACAAACAAAAACTCCGAGCATTTTATTTGTGTGGAGGGCAAAGGGGTGAAATCTGAAATGTTGTTTCGATGGATTTTCGAAGTTTGAATCTGCAAAAGGTGGACCGCAAGCCGGATTGGTTTTCGAGGTGCGACAGCCTATACGGATTTCAGCTTGAGCCCTCCACCCTAATTGATCGGGCACGTTCGAAACTCCGCGTGGGTTTCTTGGATCGGCGGTGGGCCCACGTGGAAGCGCCCCAGGCGCCGCCCCTGGCGAGTTCCGCGCGCCAGTGAGAGGTCGCAGCGCCGATCCAAGAAACCCGCGCGGAACTCCGAAATGTTCTGATTATGCCTTTTGCGCGTTCTTCCTTTAGGCACGGCTGGATTCCGTGTCTTAGGTTTTAATTGGTCAGAGCACATCCCTTTCAAGGGGTGTGCTGGTGGTCACTGCATGAGGGAAACACGTCCCGAGTAGAGCATCCCGTATCACGACCACGCCGACGACGACGGAGACAAGAGGCGCAACGATCCGCGCCGAAGCACGGATTTGTGGAAGGGCCCACCATGCGAGGTTTGATTCGCAGCACGCGCCTCCGAGATCAGCAAGGCATAAAGGCACAAGCTCGAAATGTGTGGCTGCTGCCCTTAAGGGGGGGGGGGGGGGGGGCATTTCTTCCAGGGAGGGAACGCCACCCTGACAAAAAATATACGGGGTGGACAGAACCCCCACCCTGACACGTCGATTAGTGAATTGCCCGTTTTCGGTCCTCGAGAGGGCGCCGCGGCCGTTATTTTCCAGGCTTGCGCCCGCCATGTTTGGGCCCGAGGTCGTTTTCACTAAACCACGTTTTACTAAAGGGAGGTCTGTGCTACGGGGATCGGGGATGGATCTTTGAGGTTCGAGGACGGAGGATCGAGCATCGAGGGTGGAGGATCGACCCTCCAGGATCGAGGATTCTGGATCGAGGACCAGGATGAGGTGCCCCCCGACGTCCACGCCTCCGATGACCAGGGATCGCTCCCGGATCGAGGTGTCGAACGTCTTGAATTGCCTCTTGGGCCTCCTGGGGCGCCCTCCGCGCAACGGCCAGATCGGCGGCGGGGGCCTCCGGCACGGGACAGCCGGGGCAGGGAGAGGCCACACGAGCTCCCGGCGCGCGGGAAGGCTGTGACCTCCCGGGCCGCCAAGGTTTTGCAGCCAACGCGGGGGGAGAGGTTCGACCAGAACAGGTTCCTCATGCAGAGGAGGAAACGGTACCAATACCGCTGCCCCTGCGCGGTTTTCGCATTTTGGGGGGCCTTCTGGGGGCTCTCGTCGCGACCGCTGGATTCGCTTCGAACCCGTGGTCTGAACGCACCCCAGGAGAGGTCAGGGGAGTATCTGTATCGGTACCTTGTGGTTTCCCCAGTTTCGGGAGAGGTCCGGGGAGTTTCCGGAGAGCCTCTGTCGCCACGGCGGGCGTCTCCTCGAACATCAGGCCAGAACGTACCCCGGGAGAGGTCTGGGTTTTGTTTTCTTAGGTTCTGGGAGTTTCCGTTGCTGCCCAGCTGCCCGAGATGTCACAGGCTGGTGCCGCTGAGGAGCATGCGTGGCGGCCTCTTCAGATCGGGAGCTGGAACGTGTACATTACTTTTTTGAGGGCCGGGGACGACGTCGTGGTGGTATGGTGTATACTTGTTTGCCCGTTCCCCGGGGAAACAACGACACATGTATACGCTAGGGTCCCCTATACACCAGGACCCGGTTTCCTGTGCGTCGGTGTATAGAGTTCGGCTCCTTAGCAGAGGCTCCCAGGTCGGAGGAACGTTGCCTGGGGGGCCCCTTTGCTTGCCAGGTTCTTGCTGCACGCCCGGGCCACACGCGCGGGGGCGCGAGCGCGCTCCGCGGCCTGGGCCGCAGAGCTGCTCTCTTCCCCAAGGGGTCCTTGGCATCGCTCGGACGTGTGCATGCTCTCGGCGAGAACCACCGAGGACCATCCTGGACCATCGAGCCCCCCCCCCAAAAAAAAAACGCACGAAACCGAACCATGCACGGGAAACGGACGTCCGAGCGACGGCAAGAAGCGCGCCTCGCGCGGCGCGAGGCGCGACCCGCCGCCTGGCTCCCAGCCTCCGCATCGGCCCTGGGCAGTCGAAGCCAATCTGGCGCCAATCTGGCAGGCCCAATCTGGCAAACGGGAGCAATCTGGCGAGGAAGCCAACGCGACTCCAGTCTGGCGAGTAACCCAAATCATCCAGCTTGGCCGGGCCAGATTGGCCCCTGGGGCCCAATCCAATCTGACAGTCTGGCCTTCGACTACCCTGGCCCCGTCGCGGGGCGCGCTCGGGCCAGGACCTCGGGGCGAGGATCCGGCCGCGGCTGCGAGGGCGCCCCCTCGGACGCCCAGGAACGCGTCGGGTCTTTCGGGCGGCCGCCAGCAGGAATCAATCAAACGACGCGAAGATCGTGACAAGATCGGATCGGGATAACTCGACATCTCTGAGAATCGGCGGGTTTGGAGGATGTATTGGGCGCCGCGGCCGCTCCAGAGCGTTCCGGAACGCTCTGAGAGCGCTCCAGAACGCTCTGGAGCGGTTTATCCCGATCCTGGCTCTGTTTTAATCAAGGGGGGCGCGGAGGAGCGACGGGCCCCGCTTCCATGGGAGAGCGTGGAGTCCCGCCGCCGAGCGAGGCGGCAGCGGCCACATTTTGGGGAGGGCGCCTCCCCCGATCCACGGATTTTTGGCGACCGCGCGCCAGATCCACTATTCGCCAATCCATGTGTTGCGCGCCCCCGAGTCTTCGGCACCAGACCTTCTTGTCGCCGCTCTTCGACGGCAGGGGCCTTGGCATCCCTCGGACGTGTGCATTTTCTCTCTCGGCGAGGACCCTCGAGGAGCATCCTCGACCACCTGGCGAAAAAGCCACGCACGAAATCGAAAAAAACACAGGGAACGGACGTCCGAGCGATGGCCAGCGGACGAACGAACAACACACACCCATACCCATAGGGAGGTCGTTGGGAGGAGGACTGGCTATGGGTATGGGTGCGGGTTGTCGGACCCTGGAGAACGCTCCCGTTCGAGCGGGGACCCCCATCCGATAACACGCACCCATAGCCCTCTCCGATCCCCCTATGGGTATGGGTGTGTGTTGTTGGTTCGTCAAGCGGAGCGCGAGGCGCGAGGCGGCGGCCACCCGAGGCCGCTGCGGCCACCTGCGGGACGCTGCGGGCGCGGGCTCGCTCCGCCGCGGGCTCGCGGCGCCCGCCTCGCTGTGCCCCACTTCGCTCCGCCAAGCGTCGGGCTCGCCAGGGGGTTCGCGTCGCCCGCCTCGCTTCCCTGGGCTTGGGTCGGGCCTGTCCCTCTCTAGGGGGGATATTATTCAAAAGTAGTAAACAAAAATAGTCTGGGGACTGTTTTTGTTAGCCTTTCTTCACCAGTTGGGAATGTTTTTCGAGCATGTTTGATTTTTCGTCGGAAATCCCCCTGTAGGGGGACACGCCCGACTTGACCCTGGGCTTTCGACTCGCTCGGGTTCGTCTCTCGCCGGGGTTCGCTTCGCACCCAGGTGCGGCTGCCTGGGTGTCCGACGTCAGCCTCCTGCGCCCAGCGTCAGGCTGCCTCGCGGGCGAGCGCCGCCTGGGCCGAGGGGTGTCCGAGGGATGGCGTGGGGGCCCGGGGCTGCGAGGGAGGGCTTCCCTTGGGATCCAGGCGTTGAATCTTTTTCGCTCCAGCAGGAGGTGGATCTCGATGTGTTGGGGCCCTGCGGGCCCTGGGAGACACTCGTCAGACACTGTTTCGCCACTCTTTCGACACTTTTCTGGGTGCTCGAAATTATTTCTGGGATGTGGTCCTCAAGCACGATGGGAACAACATAAGGCTGTTGATAAGTTATGCCACGCCTGCGCCCGAAGAAGAAACAACGGCAAAAGCAGGAACTTCCAAAGGTTCGGACGGATTTCTTGGAACGGCGCTGGAACCCGACAAGGCGGCGTTTCCGGCGCTGCCCCTGGCGCGATCCTTGCGCAAGGACGGGCTTCAGCGCCGATCCTATGAGTCCGTGCGATGTCGATGCATTTTCCTTATGTGGGTGTGAAGGTTGAGGCTTTCTGCCCTTTTTGAGGCTTCGGGGACGGCCCTTCGTGGCCACGACCGGACGCAACTGGAGGGCAGTGTCCAGGAGGGCTCCAGGGATCGGCTTTAAGCGGACATGGGGGGTCTCAAGAGCTGGACGATACATTTGTTGCGTGCAAATTTGTTTCGGTCCAACTGCCAGGCCTGGTCCACGACGATACATGCTCGCTCCTGGCACCACGAAGCGCCCGAAACATAGCTACGTGTAGCTCTCGCGCGGTTCCCCCCGTTTGTTATGTTCTCCAAAGTTTTCAGGAGTCGCGAACAAATCTCACGACAGGCGTTTTCTCGTTCCCCAGTTTTTGTCTGGGCGATCCCGAATGGGGTCAGCAAGGGGGCGGTGGTGCTCTGGTATTTTGGATTCGGGTCGGCGGGCACATTGATCCGTTCCTGTATATTGCGGTTGCGAAAGATGGCTCGCGCCCCGAATTGCGATAGTCGAGATGTTGATGCCTCGTGTTAGTTCGATGGGCAATGGCCCGCCATTTCGCTGCGAAGGGATTTTCGAGGCTGCCATCGGCATCATACGGCGCTCTTGGACACCCCACGTCCTCTCCTCGCTGGCTCTCTACGCGACCTGGCTGGATCTGATCGGTCGCGCCGCAGTCGGCCATCACAACGCTGCACATTAATTAACGCGTTTGCAGTGTTGCAGGATAGAGTTCATGCCAAGCGCTCCAGTGTTTGTCAGCTGTCTGCGCAAGTTTCTTGCGTGTCTCGAGGCCGCTTCCAGGCATTCGTTGCCGCGAACGGCGGACTGGCGCAACGTTGTTCGCACTTGCCCGTCAGATGGTGACGTGCCAGCTGTTTTTGGGGCAACCTCCCCCTCGTCGCTTAGACCTTTTGTGCTGCTAGCTATGGATTTGGGCCGACGGGGGCTTTGTTCTGGCCGCGGGACGGCCGCGGGACGTTCCAGATTCGCAACCGCGTTACAAACTGGTTGCGGGGATGGTGCAGTCAAGACGCTGAGAATAGGAACAGTTTGGGTTCGGAAGGAGCTCGATGTTCCTTAGGTTCCTCCAGCGCTGTTCCTCTTGCTGTCTCCCCACCGACGTTATCTCCAGATGACAAGGTGTCCCCTTTTCTCCGTCAGCACGGTCTCAGTCCCAGTGCGATCTCCGATCGCGCAGCACAAGCGCTCTTGCACTCGTAGTAGTCAGAGGAAGGAAGGAATGGGCCTTGGAATGGGATGGGTAGTGAGTGACGGAGGATTAACAACAAGTGAGTAGAAGAAGTATGGCCTTGAGCCATAATGGTTACGGAGGGGGCCCAGTTCCCGATCATATGGTTCAAGTCCAGGGGAAAGGGTGAGGGCTACTCTCCTCACCCGACCAATGAGCTAGAGGCGCTCATTCCCACAGTCCCCCGGAAAATAGTGGACTTGAAAACGGGATAGGGCCTTCATCTTCCGCAACCATCGGCTTGCTCGGGAGGAACTCTGACCGAGACAGGCAAAACGTAGAGGACATCCGCCCCGACTGCTCTCTAAATCACAGCGTGGCAGAATGGTCTTGTCTTGCTGTTCTGCAACACCCGTAAAGAGGCTCTGGCCAAGGGTGTTCTCACGAGGAGCATTCACCGGCACTGAGAGCTGGGGGAGAGGCGCCACTCAAAAGCACAGTACGTGACACAGGCTCGGTCTGGGTCAGGAAAAAGGGCAGAAGACAGAGAGAGGGAGCCGACGACCCTAGTCCAGCTGCCTTCTCGACGCGGCCCTGGAGCGGTTCTTGGCCCCGGGGTCCTCCTTGCGTTTCTGCAAGGACTGCTCTTCGGCTGTGAGCCGAAGGAGCCCTGATTTCAACAGATGGAGCTGAGCAGCGTTACACTTAGCCATATCTGCCTTGGTGAGACAATCGACCGGGAGGAGCGGGTGGGGCATCCATCGTATTGACGATCCGATCCGATCCGTGGTACCTGGTATTACCGCTAAGTCTATCGCGGCTCGGCGGTCCGACTTGGCTCCAGAGGTCAGCTTGGATAGGGTGTCGTAGATCCCCTTTGCGTCGACGACGCTCACGTTGTCGGCTGGTTGGGGAGGGCCTAACACTTCGCATTGGTCTTTCAGTAGAGCCACGAAAGGACCGAGATTCTCCCGCCAGCGTTCGTTCACTACGTTTCCACGAGTGACGTCCAGCAGGAGAATCTGCAGCCACTCGGCTTCCCCAAGAGCACTGGAAAGAGCTAAAGTCTCCCCAGCCAGAGTAGACGCCACTTGGCGCCGTAGCTTCCCGGACCTCCAGGCAAGAAGGGTGACTCGGGCCCGGGACCCGTGGGCCAGTGAATTATCGGCCATGTAGATCTGCCAAGCCTCCTGAGGATGCTGAGGCCCCCACTTATCTTCGGCCCCCACCCCTCCACAATCACTCGCTGTCGCTAGCACAAAACCGTCTGGCTTAAACCGCCAGACGATGATCGGAAGAGAGGCTGTCGACCTGAGATGGTCGACCATCTTGTTCGCATCCAGCAAATCTTTCACACAGGGACTGTTGACTTTTGTGGCCAGAATAGAAGCGGTCCCCGCGGCCTCAGCGCGGGTTTCCCTGCCGACCCACTGGAGTTTGTAAACGAGGCTCCTAAAAGCCGCCACTTCTCCTCCGATGAGTGGGCCCGCATGGTCTCCTCTACGCCCCCGTGCCAGGGGAATCTTGTTAAGTTGCTCCAGGATGTATTTTTCTTGATCGACCAGAATCCGGTCCCCGGTGAACCGAAGCCTACGGCCTATGTATTCCACCCCAGCGGCATCCAGGAGTTTCATCTTCCCAAACGTGAAACGCTCCTGAAAAGGGTCCAGGTAGTTTTTCTCTTTTCCTTCTCTGAACGCTATGGCCCAGTCGTCTACTTCCACCAACACCTGTGCCTGCAGCTCGCCGCGGGCTCGCTCCACGAACAAGCAGGGCCCGAGCTTAGTGCGTTCGTAGCCCCGCGACTTCATGAAATTGGCCGTGGTGCGGTGAAAGGCGAGCGGCGCGTCGTCTAGGCCGTAGACGGGCGCTATCAACTCGATGAGTGAGCCGGGCGGAACCGGGACTCCGTCGCACGGTTCCACGAACACTCGGCCTCGAGCGCGCTTGAGAGGTTCGGACTGACAGAAAGCATTCTTGATGTCCCCAATATAGATAGTAAGACGATACATGAGAGACGTAACGAGAAACAGCATGAGGGCCTCCATACATGGAGTAGGGGCAGACACTTGAAGTTCCGCCGTGTCTTCGTCCTGATGGCCCCGAACACACCACCTGGATTTGGCTTTTTCCTTCGAAAAGGTTCCCTCCTGCGGTTTCCACCTCCGGACCATGCGACTCGAAACGATCCGGCTCGGGAGAAGCCGGCGAAGCTCGTTGGCTTCCTTGGGGGGATGCACGATCACAGCCTTGGTTCCCTCGGATATGGCTTTCCATTCGTTCGCATCGGAGATGTCGAACTCCTTTTTTTCTTCTGGGCTAAGACGCTTGTACTGAACCCTCGGCCACTCGATTGGCCAGGAGGGAAAGAGAAACGGATCCATCTTCCCCAGGGACGATTTCCACATCGGCGTTTCCGTTGGCGTAGGTCTCCCTGGACCCACTCCATCCCTGGGACTGGATTTCCTGTTCTAACTGATCGAGAAGGTCGACCTCCTCGTCCATATGGGCGAGAAGGGTCATAGCCATGTCCCCGCCGTTCTCGGTACGATCTCCTCGTGGCGAGTGAGACCTTTGTCGAGCGGGAGCCTCGAGTTCTCTAACCTGTTGCCTCACTCTGCCTTCCTGAACTCCCCGAAAGGCCTCCCCTGGAGTGCGAGTCATCCTACCGCTCCCTCCATCCAGACGCCTAAGTCCCTCCGTGTCCTGCATCAAGCGAATGAGCCGACCAGGGTCAACTGGCGCCGCTGAGCGATGCTGAGAGGCAGAATCGGACAGCGCAAGCCTAGGGGCACTAGCGGGCGGAACACTGGCAGCCGAGGCTTCAAAATGAGGGCTGTCGGGAGGGACATCGCCTGGCTCCCTGTCCCTTTTTTCACCTTGAGGGGGAGTGGGCCTCGAGCGTGTAGCACGACCCGAATCGCCGTCTCGCTCGGCAACACTGCGAGCTCGCTGGGACTGCCCAGAGGTCTGCCTTGAGGGCCCAGATGAGACCGGAACCTCGGATCTGTTCTCCAGGGACTCGGGAGCTCGCGTCCCTTCAGAATGGGCGGGCAAGGTAGCCTCCTCAGGAATCGGGGCCAGACCTGGAGGAGGCAGAGGTGGAAGAGCCCCGAGTTGACCACCTAATTCCCCCCCTTCTCCTGAAGCAACAGATGGAGACACAATGTCGGGGCCCTCCCCCGCGGCGGCTCCGCCGTCCGCCTCTACGGCGGGCGCCACCTCGGGGGGGGAGGCGACCTCCACAGGAGCGTCTGGAGCCCACGCTCCGGGGGGAGGGGGTCCTTCGCTGGAGACGTTTGTCCCAGCTCGATGCGCGCTGGTTTGGGCCTCTCTGAGAAGCTGTTGGACAGACGAGTCA